AAAAAGGTTCTCTTTGCCATCATGTCAGATATTGTCGGATATTGTATATTGTCAGATATTGTATATTGTCATATTTTCTATATTGTCAGATATTGTATGTGTGAAAAGGGGCCATGTCGCCGCTACTTAATATGTATTTAAACAGTAGTATTATACATAAATGTTCATTATTCGTGTGTGCTACACAAAGAGAGTTCTTTAAATGCTTTACATTTAATTTGCGTCTTTAAAATTAGCTAGATATTACGAGTTTTCTATTAGTTTCTATGAGTTAAGACTATTATCTTTATAACGTGTAAGTTTACAATTAAGTGAGTTACATCGGTCTTTATATAAATAAAGTTTAAAAAGGTCGTATAATGTAAACTTAAAAATGGTTAAAGTGACACATTTTGATAAACTTGAAATTGTACGGCTGTACACAAGTGGTTTGAAAAATAATCAAGTTCAGAGGAATTTAGAGTCTAAAGGAGTTTATTTATCCAGACAAAACATTGACTATTGGATTCGCCAGTATCTGAATGGGTCATTTAACCCAGGCGAGATCGAGTCAAAAGTGAGTGAGTGTAAAAAGGTTTCACAGAGAGACGCTGACCTTATTGAAAAATCTTTAAAGTTAAATGCCTTACAATCATGCAGAGATGTTCATAAAGAACTTATGACTGATGGTTATAACTTATCATTGACAACCACACGGAAAGTTATTAAATCCCTAGGTTATACGGCATCTAGGCCGAGATACGGACAGATGGTGCGAGATGTAAATAAAGAGAAACGCGTTTTAATTTGTCAATGACTTATCAACCGGAATGATTCCCTTGACGACATGATATTTAGTGACGAAAGCACGTCTTTCTTCACCACCATAAACCAGCAGCTTACCATCCAGAAGGTACAGCCAACATTGTGATACCCAAGCCAAAGCACCCACCAAATCAAGAATATCATTTTATGTATATTTTGTGAAATAAACGCTTTCTTTTAATGTTCCAAAAAAAAAAATAAGACTTTATGATCAACATGCAAATAAACAGGAACAGTAAAACGCATCTGACAATTTAAAGAGACGTCCTGGAATATTGCCTGAATAAATTGTTGAGAGTTACGTTTTCAAAGTTTTTAAATAAGAAACAAAAGCTGGCATATAAATTGTTGTAGTAACATTTTCATAAATGTCATATGCCGAATTTTTCATTATTTAACTTCAAGTTTCTCACTACCATGAAGTTGCGACGACAATGATTTATCTTGATGTCGAATACATATCATACATTACCCAACACAATAACAAGAAGAAGAACAAGAAATACACTGCATTTGTACATGTACGTTTATTACAACAAAAAAGAAAGCAAACAAACAAATTTTACATATAGTTATATGTACAGTGCATGTTACAGTACGTACGTATACTGATGTTGAAATACAGTAATTAAATTTTAAAATTTTAGGTTTCCACCACGTTGACCGGTGTTTGACCGCCGCGTTCCTCCGCAATTTACCGCTGCGTTCCGCGGGACAAACGGTTTCAGCCGCCGATTTATGTCCTCGGTGGTGAAAATTTTCTGTCTGCGGGGTCACGCGGACAATATCTGAGCAAATTTTCGTCCGCGGTAAACCTCATCCGCGGGGTCACGCGGGTTTTGCAAAAGCCGCGCTGAGCGTACTGTATTTCTTAAATTTTATATATAATAGCTATTCAAAGATGCAGAAAACATATTTTATAATACATAGAATTAAGTGAAAGTATTTCAAGATTTAACATATAATCTATATACAAGAACAGCAATGCCATAATAATCAGTTATCCTAAATACTCCAATATTATTATGGCAAGAGCTAGTGGTGATTGATAAAAAATAAATAGTCCAAGCTGCAAAGTAGAAAATATATTTAAACTTGTCAAAACTTGTCAACACTTCACATATTAGACAAACAAACTCTTCAAGTATTTTTCATGTATTAATTATTATTCCCTCGATAATCACGGTTTGATGAGTCATTTTAATTTAATTTATAATCAATTTGATTAAAAATACCAACTATACTACTGTAATTATTTAATCAAGTGACTTTAAAGAAGAAATTCTATTTGCAGATGCGAATGGTATCATTATCCGCTGAAGACAATACATCGGATATAGGTGAGAGAAATAAATTACAATGAAAATTGTAAAATATAATTAAAATGCTTCTTATTTATTAAACAACATCAAAAAGGTATTTTCTGCAAAGCAGTTGTTAGTTCATTGACAGTGCATACGAGTCATGACTCAGTTACGGGTGTTTTTTTGGTAATTCTTCATTTATATCTGCTTAATATAATTAAAAGCGAAAACCGTACAGTCAACATTTATATTTTGAGTTTGTCAATTTCAACAAGTTTTCCCGGTTTTGATTTGGAACCTTCTGGGTGCCCTACTTGGGTGTGTCGCAGGGGGGGGGGGGGGGTGCGTCCTGTGAACGTTTCCTTTGCCTTGTTGATCTTTATTATTTTTTTCATCATTTTGTGATTTAGATAATTTCAATCGAATGTGTATGTAAAACCCCATTGTATTCCTGCCTGATTTAACTTTGTATAGCAAATTTCACTGTGGCCTAACAATCAGCCCTCCTAAAAAACGACAACAAAAAACCAACAAAAAAAAAAAAAAAAACAACAACTAAATCGACAACAATACCAACAACACCCCCCAAAATAAAAGCCCATAAAAACATTTTGTTTTAGTTTGTTAAACATGAAATGACCATAACCGATAGTGTCATGTGGAATAAACCATTGCAGAGGTTACTTCCCCTGAAGTCTTACTTCCTCAGAACAGTAAAGCATGCTTCGTGAGCCGAAACGTGATGTTAACTTGTCAAACAATACTATTTTGTAAATTATTTAAATTTACATCGATATAGCTTTTTCAGGTAAAAAAACCCCCAAAAAATCGTTTAGTGACCGGACCACGATTTTCATAACATACACAAGTACACAAATAACAATCATGACAATAGTGTATGCATTTTTTTCAAGAGTTCATTTACCACTTCAAATCAAATATTTATAAAGCAATGACACATTGCTGTAAAGAAATTTTATTTTTTACTTATAAAACAATGTCAATAAACTAAATGCGTAACGGAAGACTGTAGTGGAACAGCTGATGCCATTGAATACCAATAGTTATTTGTTCAAAATGGACGGCGTCTATAGAATAAGTACACTATAACTTTATGTCAAAACTCTCTGACGTAACATTAGAATATATCATATATTAATCACGTGAGGTATACTGTTATAAATAAGCAAATGAAAACACAGACAATGTATGTGAAAATGTCAAATCTTAATTAAATGTAGCTAAAATAATGCAAATTAATAAAAACATACAAAACTCACGAACAATTGCTTAATTAGTTGTACATAATAGAGATAGATAGATACTTTTATTCCCCCCAAAGATGACGGTATTTACAGAGTAACAATACAATTGTAATACAATTTAAATAGTATGCAATAACATAGAAACAAAAATCATATAAAGTGGAATCTTAATTGCTTATATATACATGTATATGTAATTGATATGATTAAGTTTTTCATTCTATGGTGAAAAATTAATTCACACATGTCCTTTTATTTATCTATCTTTTATCTACAAAAAAAGTAAAGGAACAAAATGACAACTACTTGTATATCCTTACAATGATTATAAGCATTTCTCCTTTAAAAAGCTTTAACGAAATCGAAACTAAAGCTTTTAAAGCGGAAACACATTTATTGATTTCTTAAAAATAATGAAGGGGAATTGGCAAATTGTGCTGAAAATAAGTCACATCTTCTTAACAGAAGATATAGTTAATATAAAGCTGCCAAGATTTATTTAGATATTTGCTTCATTTATACAAAAAAGAGAAAAATTCATGAAAGGAAAAACCGATTTTATACAGTTTTGAATAATGCAAAACTGTAATAAATAATTCATGAGAATAATAATTGTATGAAATCGGTAATATATTTGACTAATAATTTATAAACAATATCCTGGCTAAGTATAGATTAATAGAATCTATCATTGGGTTAGATAGAGGATAGGGAAATCCCAACCCGAGGGTGATCGGTTCCATCGGGAACGAGCCTTGGCGAGTTCCCGATGGAACCGATTGCCCGAGGGTTGGGATTTCCCTATCCTCTATCTAACCCAATGGTTGATTATTTTTCTCACTCACCTGAACACACAAATATCAGTGAATCTACTTGCTATGCCCATTACAACGTACCTAGTTTTGAAAAGGGGGCGGGGCTTAGGCGCCTGACTTTCTATGATTAAAAAGCATTATGTACGTCCGCAAAAAAATCTTCTGACCAAGTTTATGTGTGAAAAACTTAATGAAAATAAATTCATATGAGACCCCTCATGAAAAAGCAAGGTTATCATGATGAAACACATCGATATTAAAAACGGAAAGTGCCATAATATAAGTGTTTATCAGGAATTCAGTCCATACTTCAATGGTTGACAAAAAAGCGTTTACCGTTTGCAAAGATTTTTCTACTTTTTCGGTTATTTTGGCCGAATATTCAATTAAAATATATCAAAATGAGATTCGTCATCAAAAAGCATCGTTATCATAACAAAAAACATGAATGTTTTTCAGGCAAAGTGTCATAATATCCGATTTTACGAAGAACGTTTCGATATTTTAAAGTGTGCTATTTTTAGTAACAGATCGTTATTGGAAAGGGCGGATCTAGGTAGAGTAGGACTCATTGCAGTGTGAAAGTTAATATCAATCTATTTTGATTCCGTAGACAATTTAATAGATTAGATTACAAATTTTTAATACATTTTGACCTTTTGACGTTTAATTTTTGTTAAAATAGGAGTGAATCGCGTATTATTTAGAACTGCTGCACGTTGAGTGTGAGATAAGCCCATGTGAGATAAGATTTTCCAACACCGCTATTTTTAGTAACATTTAAGGATTTTTCTATCTGGTTAGTGAGAATAATGTTTGTAAGTCAATATTAATGGGAACAAAGGTGTCTGACGTGATGCAGTCGTGCAAAAGATAAATGGAATTAAAGTTGGTTTTACAAACACTAACCATAGTGGTTGAAATAATGTTTTAAATCTTTAAACAATGCAAGTATAAGTTATTTAAAAAGACAGTATTAAATGACAAATTTGTGCTGATAGAATGAATTAGATGTATTAGAATTTTGAGAAATTGATCAATTTCCTTGGATAAATGTAATTTCATCCACTAATTTAAATTAAATCTGCGTGAACCAATACTTATAAGAATATGAATTACTTTGCTCACATGAAAGACGGCCAAAACTAATATTTGTATGTTTATTTGCATTTAAATGGAACAACAATTTGGTTTTCAAAGGGATTAACTTCAAATCAAATAAAATCAAATAATTAAACAATTTCCGAGACTGCATTGCAAATCTATCATAACAATGTGATTAAAATCAGCTCCTGCTATACTAAAAATAAAACAAAAGAGGATACGAACTTTAGTCAGAAGGAATATATAATCATATTACATTTGATCATGCTTTTTATATGGCAATTCATGGTACTTTATTTTAATCAATCAAGATGCCATTAACGGTTGTCCTGTAAGGCGAAATGAAAAACACACTATCTGAGCTAGCAGTCGCTAGCCAAACCTTTTCACCTTTCCGAACGTAACCTATCCCTGAGTTTCCGCTATTATTATCTGCACCTTTGTCTACAACGACGCTAGTTGTGGTGAACCAATTCACTTTCAAAACAACATGTGCGTCGCCTAAAACTGATGATTGTATATTATAAGTAAACAAATACGTTCCTGATTTTGGCGCTGTAAATATCCCCGTTGAGGCGCTGTATCCTCCGCCGTGACTATATATCACGTGATCAAACACTATTCTTTCGTTCTTGACATAATAGCTTTGTTTCTTCGTAAGTATAGCTGAAAATGCAACCTTTCTGGCTGAGAAAGAATAAAATAATTTTTATTGATTAAGAAGAGAAAAAGGAATAGTTAGTTTGGATATTATTTAATTATATACAAAAAGTATAAAATGTTTGTTAATAGTGAATGTTTTTTCTTGTAATTATATCATTAGATAGAATCAAGTATAATGTGTAACTGCAAATAAACAAAGCAGCCCATTTTACCGTTGTGTGGAGCATGGTTCTTCTCTTTTATGAGAGAACTATAATATAAAAGTTTAAATGTCAAAATTCATTGTTTTAAATGTCTAAGAATATATATTTGTTCAATTTTAAAACAGACAAAAAATAATAACTTTAACCCGATCTCAAAATTGAAAATAGAACATATTTCACAAAACCAAATATTGTAGTATTTTCTTGAATAATCATATCCGGATTCAAATTAGTGAAATTTGACTTTTGTATTCAAACATATGTACATTGAAATATGGACCGCTTATACATGAAGCTGTCGTGTTAAAATAAAGACTTCAAAAGAACGCATAATGCCATTTAAAAACATAAACACTTGTGTTCCTAGGACTAACCTTCTTCCACAGGGATTCGGCTGCTTAAAGTACTGATCTGATTAGAAAATGTGTCTTCCTGTCTGTCTGTAATAGTTACAGTAATTAATAAACAATATATATTTACATGTTTCTTATATATTACTACCACATGTTTATCAAACTCATCGGTATATCAAACTTATCAGCTACTTAGTATCATCATTCTTAGATATCTTTTACAGAAACACGAGCAATATTAATTTATCTAATATGCATTTCGTTGAAAACTTGTGTAGAATACATTTTCTTTTTTTTTCAATTTTGAGTTTGTAGGTAATTTTCATGTCAGTAAAAATGAAATAGGACAAATAATATTTTTTTGAGGAAGCATCAACAGCATGTTGACTTATACAACCGTGTTATCTCATAATGTAATGTATGAAGATGAAATATCAGGATTGTTTAATGGTTAACACTGTTACTCTGGTTACAAAACAGAACTAAAAACAAAGAAAACTAGTAGACATACAGCATTCAGTTAACCAACACTTATGCAGAAGATATGTTTCGTGAAAATTTAATTTGAAAATACTTTATTTGCACCAAATAGTATGAAAGTATAAAAAAGAAAAGAATTCTTCTTTTACCTTGCTTTGACAAGACTGATCGAAGTTGACTCTCTGCGCTATTGAGCCGTTTGTTTAGCCCATTGTATGTACTTTGCAAATTTGACTTGGCAGCGATTAGACGCTGGTCAACTTCATTGATATTTTCAGCTAATTCCATGTTCCCATCTTTTATTCTAGCGTCCGATTCTATTAGTTTATTTTCTAAATCTATATTCATTTTTTGCATGAGAAGGTCTGTTTCATTTAATTGACTTTGGAGTTTGTTCATTACTGCTACTAGCATGAGGTTTTGTTCGAAAATTGAATTTTCTAAACTGTCAACTGTGGTATTAACTACATTTATATTATTTACTAGTTCCGATTGGAAACTTTTGAACTTTTGTTCAAATGCCATTAATTTTTCTTTCATATGTGACTTCTCGCTAACTAGCATTTTCCGCAATATAATTGCTTCTGTCTTAAATTTCTTTTGAAGCCGAGACGCAGATAATTTTTCTAAAGACTGGATCTTTTCATTTAACAGAGCTTTTGAATTTTCTTCTTCATAGCTTGCCGCTTTACTTGCCATAAGTGATATATTCTCTTCCATACTTTCGATTTTGTTCTCGAGTCTACCAACAACTGCCTTAGTTTCCTGAAGCTCAGATTTTAGATTATTGTTTCACGAACAACATTGGATAGTTGCATTGACAGCAGTTGATACACTTTTTTTGCACTTAATTCCGGCTCTGCACATGCTACCTGGCAAAATAATGATAATAAAAGTCCAATACTTAAACTAAGAAATTTAGACATTTTTTTACTTCATTTTGCGCTTTTTTGTAACACCAAGTTTTATAATTTATCCCAAATTGATTTAACCAGTGACATACACGTTTATATATAACACTCTCATGTCTATCAAATTCAACTATATGGTGTACCTGGGGGACAAAAACAGATATGCGACATAACCGAGTAATAAGTGTTGTTTCTTACAATTAAGTTACAATTGGTTTATTATAAACTTTTCTTATCCGATATAAGTTAAGTAATAGAAAGAGCAATGAAACACGAGTCTCTCTGATGTGTACGAGGGAGCGTTGCCTCCGAGTATTTATAAGATTGCCGAGTTATTTGATGTTCGTTTTCTTTTGTATCATAGTCAAACATAAAATACGATCCCTGTTGTCACAAATATGAAACCCCAGAAAACAGTAACCAATGATCGAGCATCTGAATATGATATTTCTATCGCTTTCCCCTTCTCTGCCGTCACAATAAGTAAACCCCAGCAAAAATAAGCCAATCAATGGGCTGGACTGCGGGGAACTTATACCTGCACTCCAGTTTACGCACTATGCACGTATATGTAGACACATTTTCAACAGAAAGGTCCCAAAACTATGATACAAATATGATATACACTTTTTTGCAATGCTAAACTAACCGGATGTAGCATGTTCTGGCGCATGCTTAATTTGTGTATGGCAGTATTGTAGTAGTCGTTCATAAACAATTGACCAGTTGACTGATGACATCACAAATATCTGACACCAGAATTTAGCAGATTTACTGGTTGCAAGAAGAACAAATATTTATATGCATTATATATCAGCATAATTTTTATATTCTAATAAATTATCTTTATATGTGGACCAATGTTTTAGTTTTTTATATCATTTGAAAGTTCTTTATATATGTACATATGTATTTATATTTTTGAAATGTAAGCGGATGCTCGTTTTTTTTGCTTATAAAAGAACTCTCGGATATTTTTTTATAATTATTAACACTTACTTTTTTCGTAATGTTACTTTCCCATAGGCATCTGGGAGTTATTCTTACTATTAATGCAAGTGTACCACGTAACTAAGAATTTTGTACTGTTACATAGTTAACAGTATTTTTAAGAGTATAAAATCTGGTCACGTGGTCTATTTTCTAAATAAAATTAAAGAAAATTACCGTCATTTTTCTCTCGATTCATTCTTATTTTCGTCGATAGGGCCTAGGGCATCACCAAAGTAACAATGACTCTCATAAAATTTAGTTCTTTGCACCCTAGAGTTCTTTTCGCATATAAAATAACCTTTTGTTGAACAGTGAAAAAGACAACATCCGTTTTCAACGGAAGTAATTGTAATGTGAATAATTTTGTGTCAAACTGGAACATGCAGACGTTTAAAACTTGCAACAAAGGATTATTTAATAATTTTAACCAGTGAAACGTTACAGATAGAGTTGGTGGACAGACATCTGTACAGTAGGATATCATCGTTATTTTGTCAAAACCTTGCAAAGAATATTCTGGATACAGACGGATCAGATTTCACAGATCATAACCTTATAAATGGGTTAGTGTTTTCTTTTCCAAATAAAACCCAGTTAATTGTATGTTTATGACTGGTAGCTATCATCACTTGCTTAAAGAATAAAAGAAAAATGGCTTCTCAAGTAGGCCTACAGTACACATAAAACTTTCAAGGTAAGGACAGTTTAGTTATTGCTACTTTTCGTTTATTTTTGTTACATTTAGATTTAGTTTACAAATTCAGGCCATCACAGTATTTGTTCGGGGTAATAAAATAAATAACACATGGGTTTGTGTGTAACAGTATATAAATAACACATGGGTTTGTGGGTAACAGTAAAAATATCATCCCGAGGAAAATACTGTTACCCGAGGCGTAGCCGAGGGTAACAGTATTTTTACGAGGGATGATATTTTTACTGTTACTCACAAACCCATGTGTTATTTATTTTATTACCCCGAACAAAAATACTGAGATGATCTGAAATTGTCAACTAAATCTAACTGTAACAAAAATAAACCAAGAGTAACAATACCTAAACTGTCCTTACCTTTTAAGTTTTAAGTGTACTTTACTGTAGGCCTACTTGAGAAGTTTTCTTTTCTTTTATTCTTTAAGCAAGTGATGATATCTACAAATCATAAACATACAATAAGCTAGGTTTTCTGTTTAGAAAACAAAACACTAACCCATTTACACGGTTATGATCTGTGAAATCTGATCCTTCTGTTTCCAGAATATTCTTAGCATGGTTTTTGACAAAATAACGATGATATCCTATGTCTGTCCACCATATCTGTAACGTTTCACTGATTAAATTTGTTAAATAATCCTTTGTTGCATGCTTAAATCGTCTGCATGTTCCAGTTTGACACATAATTATTTACATTGCAATTACTTCCGTTGAAAACGGATGTTCACTTTTTGACTATTCAGCAATAAGATATTTTATACGCGAAAAGCACACCAGGGTGCAAACAACTATATTTTATGAGTGTCATAGGGACTCCAGAGGAGAAATTGATGTCCTATCGGGGTTTAAACTTGAAAATAAGAATGAATCGAGAGAAAAAATGGCGGCCATTTTATTTCATTTTATTTAGGATATAGACCACGTGACCTCTTAAAAAATACTGTTACCTATGTAACAGTACAAAATTCTTAGTCACGTGGTACACCTGCATTAACAGTAAAAATAACTCCCAGAGGCCTATGGGAAATTAGCATTACGAAAAAAAGTGAGGGGTAATAATAAAATATCATCCTTCGTAAAAATACTGTTACCCGAACAGTATTTTCCTCGGGATGATATTTTTACTGTTACCCACAAACCCATGTGTTATTTATATACTGTTATTTCAAAAGTTTTCTAGCCAAGTTTAACTCTTTACAAAGAAAAAAGGATAACGTTATGATTTTTTTAGTTTGTAAAATTATTTGAGTTTAAAGACCTTTCTAATGATCAAATATACTAAGCTTTTCTTGAAAAATTTGTTTGTCATTATATATATAAACTTACTAAAGTTTGCATTTTATCAGCCACCATATGTTTTGCCAACCATCCACAAGTTACCTGTATGTCTCATCAGCAATTTGTTACTATTAATAGATTTCATAACAATAACATGCAACTTGCCTATGCCGCAATTGTCGCAGAAATAAAAAGAACTGCGCAGTTGTTGATATCAAAGGGAAAGCGTTACTACGCAAAATTTCCATAAGGGCACTTTTTAGTATTTTTGGAAGTTAGATACTTATTCGTTATTTATCAATCTAACAGAAAAATATCTAGTTAGTCTGATAAATATCTGTTATTTATCGTGTTTAGTTAGACAGATAACGCAATAATGTTATGGTAAACTGTTGGCAATAACATGCTACCGTATATATGTTTTTACCGGAAGTACAGCACAATTATGGGTGCTCTTCATATGAGATTATTTTGGCCCTAAATTCTATTGTCTTTAAGCTCGCCGGGAATCAGTAAGATCAGACTCCCTGCTATTGTTTTTCAATGTCGGGGTCATTCATCACGAAGCTGCAATTTAACTTTCATTGATTTTAACCAATTTAGTAAAAATCATTTTTTTACTCAGTATTTAACCTGATCACAATCTATTTCCGTTTCTTGTAACTACTTAAGACGTATGTCATACACTCAAAGCCACTTGTGACCTAATCTGGCCTTACAATAAACGAATTTACACCAATAAAAAACAAGACACACTTTTTCGGTTTATCTATTCTATTTTCTTCGTATTTCTTATATAAAGCAGGGCGGAAGTTCAACAACTTCGAGCATCTTACTTACACATCCACTACAGAGAAAAATGGTCTTTTTATATATACTCTAATTTTCAAGTGTCCTTGATATTAAACAATTATATCCACATTGTGTGATATCTTCCTTTCTCTATTAACATTATTTAAAGTGTTTATTCCCACTCAAATATCAGCCGCGACCTGTTACAAAAGATAAAGAGAAAAACATTTTGAAACTATAAATGAAACAAAAAGAATACATTTGATTATTGTTTAATTGTTTTAAGAAAGCCCTCAAAGTGTTTCCTGTTACAAGTTCAATATATCAAGTGTCGTTTATATAAATGACATTGGATGTGTCAATTCTCAAAATTCTCTTTCTTATATGGTAGATCTACCTCATATAATTTGGAAAAAATATGATTGAGCTAGGGTTCCCGAAATTTTTATTTAATCTTAACGCTATAAAAATGAGTCATTTCTATCAATATCTTTAAACTGCGGACATCTGTCATCATTTCGATGATTCTTTTTATCATTTTAGTGCCGTAATTGTATTTGAATGAATGAATTTTATTATTATTTTCTTTCACAGTACTAGTATATATTAATTTAGAGACCTATAAATCTTCAAAAAAAATTGATACCTTTTTAAGTTCTCAAGTTATGCTCCGGACAAAGTTCAAAGTGTAAAATGAACAAAGAGCTATAACCCTAAAATAAGGGAAGACAGAATAACGGTTCTTTTGCACTGCACTTCTACCAAATGAAAAATATTTACCTACAAAGTTTCTTGCTAATACCCCTTGTTATACCGCACTTTGTGGTCAAACGCACTTTGGAGTCCGATCCCAAAGTGCGGTAAACTTCATAGGCAATTTTGGGTCAAATGCATTTTGGGGCCCAAATCGAGAATTTGACCCCAAAGTGCATTGATATGCTATATATCAACGCACTTTGGGTTTCAGAGTTCTGAAAGATTCAACTGACTTCTGCTTTAATTCTGAGTACCGACTTATTTTCGATTTGCGACAGTGAAACATTTGAGTTCGAGATGAAGGTCGATACTTATATACATCAATATTTCTACGTTTCATTTAAATGCTGATGTAGCAGTAATAAAAATATGTGTTAGATGTTTATTAATTCATCCACTTGAAATATCTAAAAAAAATTGTTGTGTAAGAAACTACTTAATTTCAGATGTATTCCTATAAATTCGAAAAATATCCTGTTCTGTAGATACATGTAACATTTGGTGCAA